TCCCACCGGTGAAGAGTATACGTACTGAGCTTTGTGTGGCTTCGTCAACTGCAAGATGCTGTTCGCAGCGAATACGCACCCTTATTTTGAGGTATGGAAACTAGCGCAAACGTCTCTCGCAAAGCCACATGGCAGAGTCTCCGAATGGTACGATGTGAGAGGACAATCTGCCGGACTGTTGGGGCCAAATCGGAATGAAGCCATGTGTGAAGTAACCCGGGGAAACTTGCTCAGCCTTACGTATATTAACCCAGCTCCCCGGTTATGGAGGACGGGAGCAATTGTTGGGTTTCGAACGGTCTGGGAGTTCGTCGCGTCGTGAATCCGGTGGTCTAGACCTGATGGCTCTGATTGTAGTACAGATGACGAGTAAGTTTGCTGTCTGAAGCCAACGAGTTTTTGGGGAAGGTAACGGTCGTATCCGGGCCGCGCCCCAAATGGAATGGTCTGTTAGCCGACTTCCACAGTGAACGGCGTTGCGTCATCTTATAACTGTCGTTGTTCGTAAGCGTCGATGCGGATATTTCCCCGAGCATACGCGCATCGAAACTGGAAGCACGCCGAGCGGTTCGGAGTTTGAAAAGAGAGCGCTTATGGCACGTCGTGAAACGTCATTAATGTTTCGCCGAGGTTGTGGATATCACGTTAAAGGCGCGTGACTTTGGACATGGAAGTGAGAACACGTGGCTGCACGTGAAGCCAACAACACAAGCTCGTAGCAGTAAAGGTGTGGAGCGAGGCAGTCACGATCGAGGAGACAACAAGACGAAAGAGAAGTGTGATATGCTTTTATTGATGAACGCCTGACCAACCCACCTGGGTACAGGTCATATAATGCTACCCAGAACGCCAATATGTATGCAAGGGGTATCGCTGAATGCAAAAAGAAAAATAACCTCCCAATCTTCATGATCATGCAATCGTTTTCATGCAATCGTCATCATGTGTGTCCGTCATCAGTACCTGTGGCCTGCCACTGGAGGGCGCAGTATGTGTGTAACAAAAGAAAATGCAGTAACAGAAACAAAGCAAAGGCGAGTCTTCAACACCTACAAACCCCTAAACTTGGCACCATTCCTGTGGTAGATGCTGTGCACTGCACGGGGAGTGATAGCTGGAGGAGCGACTGCTGGGGGAGCGGGCGGAGTAGCAACAGGCGCTGTTGGAGCGGGCGCAGTGACTGTGACAATGACAGTGTCAGTGACTGTGACAACGCCGTCGTTGCCGGCGGGTGGTGTTGGTGCAGCACCAGGGCGACCGGAGAGTGTGGGAATCTCCATAGTAGCGCTGGAGGCTGCGGAGTTGCTGGGAGATGGCAGCTGGGCAGTAGCAGAGGGAACGATGGCAGAGATTTGAAGAGAGCTGCTAGGAGCTGGAGGTGCAGCGCTTGGAACGGGAACAGCGCTGGTGGTGATTGGAGCTGTAGGACCCGCGGGCGAAGTGCTGTTGGTGGGGAAAGGAGCTTCGCCACCAGAGCCGGAGCCAGAACCAGAACCAGAACCTGGCAGTGAAATCTCGGTCAGGATAGGGAAGTCCCACTCGTTCTTGGCAAGGTCGGTGAGAATAGCGGTTCGTGAGGCGAAGTCGGAGACGGCGGCTGTGCCTGCATCTTGCTGGACAAGAGCGAACTTGGGTGAAGCATCGGCGGACAGGGCAACATCCGGGGATGTGACATCGACGTCCATGCAAGTAGTGTACCACTCATTTTTGCCCTTTGGAAGACCGTCGTCACCGCCCTCCTTCACGCCACCAGGCCTAGTGTTCCACTGCCATGTCCAGTATAGGGTGTATGGCTTGCCTAGCTCAGCGCTCTCAGGAATCTGGACATTGCTTTCACAGAACTGCGCGAAGTTGCCTGGTTGGCCTTCGACGGCTTGACCAAAAGCATAGGCCGGAAATTCCTTTGAACGCTCCTTGTATGTGGGCGTGTTGTTGATCTCGTAGCATCGACCGTCGTTGTAGTTATTCACGGCAAGCAGCTTGCCACGCTTGTCTCCGCCACTCCCGTCTTTTGTCCACTCCATGACTGTGGAAATCTTCTCGTCCTCCTTCGGTTCAGTGGTACCATACACCCATATAGTGCCACCCGCCTCGACAGGTGGCTTGCCGGGTATGTGCGCAGGGTTAGCAGGCTCTGTGACGTGACCGTTTTCCATGTACCGCAGCGCGACAAAGCCACCGGGTGGCGCTTGAAGACGAGGGTACTTCTCTTGAGATTGGACTGGCTTTCTTTGCGAAGGGTGGCACAATAGTGTCTTCTTGCTGATGAATGCACCTTCCGTCAACGGGGGAACCAGGTTGTTCATGGAGGTGTCGCCGTTGTAGCCTTTGTCGGTCTTTGCGACGTATCCTCGTGGGTACCCGTATTGGCCGACGTATTCACCCTTGTCGTTGATGTTGCGCATCTGCTCGATCCAGCTGTGGCCCATAGCGACAGGGAAGGCGACGAGCGCGGCGATGAGGGTTCTCCGTATGCTAGGCATCTTGATGTGTGTCGTAATGTAGAAAGTGAAATCTTGCCCTGCAAGAGTAGGTGTGGGATAGTCGGTGCCGGATGTCTTATCAATACTGGCGATACGTATATCCTGATGTGAGTGTTGTTGTCGAAAGCGGGATAGCTGGGAATTGGTGTACAGGAAATTATATCGTGACGAAAAGTGAAGTATCGGCTTGGCGGGCACTGTGAGTGGTCGCTCCGTCAATAGTCGTGTGACTCAATCCGTCTTCACCTCGCACGTAACGATGCTATTGTTCAATGACAATAGTACCGGACCTTGTGAACGACGCACTGCGCGCTCTAGGCTACAAGAAAATAAGAAATGCAAGAGAAGAAGTGAAGACGCACAAGCCGGATGTGAACACGAACTGCAATATCACGCGGCCATGGCCCTTTATTCAGGCGGGTGAAGGTGGTGAGACAGACGCTGTTGAGCGTTGTAAAATCTCCGGCCTAGAAGGGAAGAAGCGACAGGAGCCAATAGAGAAGGAGACACACGAGGTGTCGAAACACAGCGCCACTCCACGCGACGCCGCACGCAAGCTTTCGAGCCTGACTGTATGGGTGTAGGATGTGCGTTTCAACGCTGGCCGATGCTGTAGCCGCCAGCCATGGCTTTCCCGTCCCGCAGCGTGGTCGCGGCGTAGCGCGCTCTTGCTGCAGCCTCCCGTACTCTCCGGCGCGAAGATCGGCGTCTGTTAGTCGGTAGTTGGCAATACATGTGCATGGCAGGGCTACGCTAGCCATCCTCAGACATCAGAGGGGCCGTTGAGTGTCAGAGGACCGTGTGCCGTTGATCTACAACACAACGACGGAAGCTAGGCATCATCTAGATCGATGCGATGAAAGTGGAGATGAAATAACGATAGATAATGAGAGCCAGTGATTGCGATATTGTGAAGCTTTCTGCATCGCCCATCGTGAACCCACAAGCGTGACGTAAGAAACCGCGCAAAGTGCACGCAAAGTGGATGACAAAATCATCGAAGTGCCAGAGCGAGCCTGGAACGACCCCACGACAGGTGAATGTGTGCCGGTGCAGCGCTTCGAGAAGGAAGGTGAACCCGCAAGCGACGGGTGGTGGGGTGAAGGTAGTTTGGTGGAGGCTCCACGTTGTTTCAGGTCAGAGCGCACGCGGGCGTTGATTGGTCATCGGCCGCCACGCTAGGCTTCGGCCTAGGAAATAGAGATATCGCGTGATTGGCGCGCATCTCTCCATTTCACGATGCCCGCCAGCTAGCCATTTCCCACGACCAGATTGACGCCCATCCAGTCTCTATATTTGACAAGCGAGATTCCAGACACCTGGCCAGCTTCATGCGCCTTTTTTCTTTTCCGATGCCGAGCACAGGCCGCGAGATGAGATGTTTCCTAAGACGCATTCCTACCCATACAGGCACGCTCCTATCGCTCCCTCGTGTTTCATCGATAAGGGAAAACGGCGGGGCGCGGAACAGCCCTGAGGCATAGCAAACGGCATCAACGGGGGCCTGGCCAGCATCCCCGCCTGTCAAAACGGCTCGCAGATTACAGGAACCAAACCCGAGGCTAACCACGTCGGATATCCTTAGCAGGTGACCTCGTGCGGTGGCTACCCAAACCTAAAGGCCGAGATGTGTCTTCTGGAAGGCCATTTCATCTCTCACAATGTCCTTACATCTTGAAATGTTATTGCAAACATGTCTCGACATTGGGGTTTCGAGGTTAGCCATGGAAGGTATGCCAGGTGGTGCCTGTTGGTGTCGTCGCTTTCTGGGTACGGTGGCAAATTGATGTGGGTAGCATCTTCACACGTTGGCGTTGAGACCATCTACAACTTGATCAAATATGCTCACGCAAACAACCATCTGCTGTCTTAGCCGTCAATGTGCAATAGCGTAGAATGGCTGGTTGAGTGATAGGCATAACCGACGTGAAGAGCTTGTCCATCACAACGACAACCTCATATAAGCACTCCAAGAAGATGATCTAGCGGTAGTAAGCTGCTGTCAAGACCAACAATACAATACTGCCACGCTCGGAAACATATCACAAGCCGAAACTGCGATTATATCTTGCCCGAACTGCCTGCTTTAACTGCTTGAACATGTGCCAATACACACTCGTCATCTACACATGCGCTCATACATCCCGCAAAGGAACCTCTTGGTGCCCAGCAAGCTTGATGTCGTCACCAAACCGCTTTGGTCTCTGCAGCCGCGCGCAGTCAAACATCATCGAAGTGCGATACGAGGAAGCTTGCAATGCGTGTCTACTGAGAGAGCATCAGGAAGCAAGGGCGAAAGAAGTTGAGATACGGAGAGATGAGGGCAAACAGTAAAGTCACGGGGGGTAGTGAGTGAGGAAAGAGGATCATTCTTAATCAAGCTAGCGTTCTTTGGCAATCTATGGTACACTCTGAATACTTATCTTTGCAACCTCAACGTTCTCACTACCCACTTCTCCCAACATTACCATCTATCGGACAAACCACCACACCACTACATCATCTACACCCACAGCAATGGCCTCAAACTCCCCCTCATCCCCGCTAGAGTGGCTCGGCGCGATGCTGTGAGTTCTGACTGTCTGTAGTGCATGTGAGACATATACTGACTTCGTGTAGTAAGGAAGCCCATGCAGGCCAGCGGGCAGCGGAATCGAACTCGACGAAGTCAAGCGCCAGCTTCATACCGCCCAGGAGACCATTGCAGCGCAGAAGCAGGAACTCGTGAAGTCGAGGCAAGACCTGGAATTGGCGAGGGCGGAGACGAAAAATGTAAGAGACCTATTGGTAAGAGTAATGGCAAGGAGTACTGAGAACGCGCAGCAGTTCCAATACATCGCATTTCAAAAGGCTACGCAGCAAATCAAGGCTCAAGGAGTTCCGCAAGGCTCTAATCCGCAGACATACCGCCACCAGCTCGCGCAAAACTATTTCCGCCAATTGACCCAGTATCAGCGGCAAAGTCAACAGCAGCGTGAGGAGGAAAGACAGTGAACTGTGAGTAGGATGGAGGCTGTTGAACATAGTGCGGACCGCTAACATGTTCAGTGTCGTCGAGACATGCATTGCGAGCAAGAGGAAAAGGACCAACATGTACAATGCAATGGATTAAGGGAACTGTTCACACGGGAGGGAGGGGTGCGGCGAAGTAGGCAGTGACCGTCCAAGACATTTCACAGCATCACGATAATGCCTTGCATGCATTCAAGTCTCTTCTCGCATCATCAATCCCTTGACATGTGATTCCTTCCCTTCGTTCACATGAGCTCTTGCATAATTTGACAACTACACTGTGCGCAACTCCTTTCCACTTACTCCCCTACCTCACTACCACCCAACCGCCGGTAATAAGCACCGCCATCTCCCCGACATAAGCCATGCCAACCCTCAACATCAAACCAGAAAACTGTATCTGCGCTGCCACCATCCACTCCTTCTCCTGCCACTGCCATAAGCATGCCTACACCGTTACTTGCCCAGGATCAGCTCGCCATCATCGCCCAGCAATCGTAGGCGTCGAGCTACACTTGAAGCCGTGCGACACATGCGCGGAAAGACTGGAAGATGTAGAGAGGGCGTGGCGTGAGAGGCGAGGGATATGTCCATGTGAGGATGTTGAGACGAAGGAGGAGGTGGAGGTAGAAGAGGCAGAGACTCCAGCCTCAGAGGAGTACGAGGATGCGGTTTCGATCATGACTGAACACTGAAGGAGCATCGTATTCCAGGAAAAGATCCGATACCCAAGTACAGTAAGAAACGCAATAGTAACCCAGAAGTCTACATCCCATCAAAAATCTACAAACTGTAACTTTTGATACCGATGTAGACTCCAGGGTGTTTGGTTTTCCTTGGATGGGGTGAGAGATGTGTGTGGCACGCCAATGCAGTGTCGTCGGCAACCCATGGTACCGCATCGCGAATCGCGCGCACATTACCAATGTATGCTTCAGACCCTGAGAGACCTTGTACAGCCTCACAACACTCTCGCTTTTGATCAACGACTTATATCTCCCGAACTTGGATTCAGTGACAGCACCTCTACAGCACAAGCGCATTCTGCCCCCACCTGCATCATCGCCAGTTGCGAGCGTCGCAATGCCGCACTTTGCAACCACTCGTCATACGCTTGACGTGTTTCCGCGTTACGAGATACCGACAAAGACTCGCTTCGCGTACTACTGCTTGTTCTCCCTAGAATCGGTAGCTTTCTTCCAATGGCGACCTCTACGTGAAGAAACCATCGCCGCAGGGTTTCGCTGGTTCATGATTCCCGCACATTTACTCTGGATGGCGTTGCCGTTATTCTCCGTCCTAAGATTCTACTCCGTCAATGACCACTCTATCGATGCCAATGGCCATCTTCTTCCAAGACAGGTAGACCCGAGTCCTCCTACATCATACACGATACTACTTACGATGACGCTTGTCCACCTCGGTCAGATCGCAATCTGGACACAAACCTACCTCGGCACGCCTCCCCCCTTCCCCAAAGACATCCGCGCACTCGTTCAAGAATGCACGCTCCACTTCGCAATGTCCTTCTGGGTACTCTCGGAGTGTGAGTATATGCGCGCATACTGGCATTCTCGCCTCCAAGAGCGACCCTTCAATCTCATCACATTTCTCCAATCTATCCCCCGAGCCAATTTCGACCTTACTTTCCTCGTATCACGAGATTGTTGCAGTTACCGGAGTACGCCACCGAGGGATGGGCGGACATCTATGGAAGCTCTCTGTCGAGCTCTGCTTGACTTTTTCGACATCATGGCTTTTACGTGGGTGGTCCTGGTCTGTCTTCTTTACCCTATCAAGCGCTTCGCGAATCCCGGTCCTAATGGCGATACTTTCTCAATCGCAAACAGGTGTTTTGGAGTGTTCTTTGCACCGCGATCGGACTGGTTTATCTTGCTTGATATTGCACTCCAGCGTCCGGTCCGACTATTGAACAGGATGCTGTTTGAATCGGCTGTGGAGGGTGTCAAAAGAGGTCTGGATTGGTGGCGGCGGCGTGATCTACATGGGAGAGCTGATAGAAGCGACCCCGAGAGTACGAGTGACGTGTCCCCGTTGTACATCCCTCCTGCCGACTGGTCTGACCTCTGGGTCAATAGCGAAGAGATTGCCTGGTGGTCGGTATCTCGACAGCTCTACGAAACGCCCTGGAACGACTAAGATACCTTGAATCAAGATGGCAATTCCCCCAGACGATTCGCCTCCCGGCCTCGAGGAAGCTCTCCATCGCTTTTTGGCATACCTAGGTATCTCCGCCGACGTCACGTCGAATCACGCACCTTCGTCAGATACGAAGACGATAGCGAAGACTCCATCATGGGTAGCTGCAAGTGGCTGTGCAAAGATACGAGCCAAACGAAAAGGCTCTGGTCAATACATGAAGTGCCTTCGGTGTTATACAAGGAGTAGGCTGAGCCTTAGGCTGAGACCTCGAGGAGGATTAATCGAGAGGAAGGCGGATGGAAGAAGGAGGTGGAAAGCGTCGCGTCGGGGATAATATGCTCGTGGTGGTTGCTTTCGTCATGGAAGGTCGCCGTAGTCGCCCCTTCCTCGTTCGGTCAGGTTGGTCAAATTGTTCACGATAGTACGTAGGATAGCAGGCGCGCTAGGTCTACAAAGGCCATAACTGCGCCATTAAAGGGCCGCAAGTAGCGAGGGTCTCGAGTTAATCTGTAATGATGCTGTAAATCTATTATTGATGTCGAATCGTAAGCATGCGAAAGAAAAAGTGAAGGTGGCGTTTCTCGAGCATTCCTTGGCGCTCTCCGCTTTGTCAGCCACTAGCGTCCGCGACATTCAGCCTAGCTTCGAGCTCCGCGCATCGCGACATTTTCCCAACACCGCGCGCGCGACAACCTCACACACCACGCCATCGCCGTCGACCTCGTAAAACCCGTCGCAACCCTTCATACACCTCACCCAACACCTCGCACGACACTCACCATGGCCAACTACCTCGCCTCCATCTTCGGAACGGAGCAAGACAAAGTCAACTGCTCCTTCTACTACAAGATCGGCGCGTGCCGCCACGGCGACCGCTGCTCGCGCAAACACGTCAAGCCCTCGTACTCGCAGACGATCCTGCTGCCGAACCTCTACCAGAACCCCGCGTACGACCCCAAGAACAAGATGAACCCGCAGCAGATGCAGATGCACTTTGATGCGTTTTACGAGGATATCTGGTGCGAGCTGTGCCAGTACGGGCTTGTGGAGGAGCTGGTAGTTTGTGACAATAACAATGATCGTACGTTCCCTTCTTTTCTTTAGAGTTAAAAGCGCTGCTAACACAACCTACAGACCTCATCGGCAACGTCTACGTGCGCTTCAAGTACGAAGAAGACGCGCAAAAAGCATGCGACGCGCTCAACTCGCGCTGGTACGCCGGCCGCCCCATCTACTGCGAACTCTCGCCCGTCACCGATTTCCGCGAGGCCTGCTGTCGCCTCAACAGCGGCGAGGGCTGTGTCCGCGGCGGCTTCTGCAACTTCATCCATCGCAAGGAACCGAGTGCCGAGCTGGATCGCGAGTTGGACATGTGCACGCGCAAGTGGTTGAAGGAGAGAGGCCGGGATGCCAGGAGTATGAGCAGGAGTCCTACGCCGCCTGCGACGAAGAGCCGGTTTTAGAAAGATTTGGTGGCCGGGAGGATAAGGAAGGGGCAGGATTGAGGAGGAATGAGTGTGAAAGGAGTTTTGGCGTTGTGCATGCTCGCGCTTTTGGGACTGAGATATCCGTTGCGGGCATGGCGTTGCAGATTGACATTTGTATGATAGGCTGGGAAAACGTGCTGAGAGTGAATGATGCGCTGGACTAGATACACAAAAGCACTCTGTCGGTCCACATCAATCTGTTCGCATGCCTGGGTGAATTTCGTAAGTCGTGCGTAATCTCAATGGAACTGACCAGCAGAAAAGTGCACTTCAGTCGTTTTGTGTTCAGGCGTTTCTTGCAAGTCATGTCACGTACGCACAACATGGTGAAATGTTCTCGAGAAAAAGAAGCAGATATCGCATTGGTGGCCATGTAAGACCTGGTATCATCTGAAATATAAACATCGAAAGAAAAGAAACCGCGGATAGCAGCAACGAGCATCCAAATGCCCAAAACACCAACCCAATTCAACCCCCAGAAAAAAGACATTAAACGCCCCATACACCCCGTCTATCCCAAAACACACTCATATATACACCTATTCCTTCATCCCTTCATTCCTCCCATCCCCCTTCATTCTCAGATAATCTTGTGCTGTTTCAAAATAATAATCGTAACAACCACGCCCGCTACAAGCAGCAAGAAACACATCCAGAAACACCAGCAAATCCACGTCCTTTGCTTGGCCTTTCTCTGCTGACCGGCCAACCAACTATCTCTATGTGACGCGTCAGCCGTGATGGTCGTGGTGAAGTGGAAGCGCGATGAAGGGCGTCCGGAGAGGTGGCTGAGGGAGAGAGTGGAGAGGTTGGGGGTGCGGAAGAAGGAGTGGGGACGCGAGGATGAAGATGGGTGTGGGTGTGTGGGGGATGAGGGGAGCGGGGAGAAGGGCGGTTGGTAGGCGTTTTGCGTGGTGGTGGAGGGGAGCTCTTGGATAGAGATGGAGGGGCGGAGGAGGGGTTTCGTGGATGGCGTTTTTTGTAGTTTGGAGCGGGGTCTCTCTTTCTTTTTGTCTTTGTCTTTATCCGTCTCCTTCTCCGCCGTTTGCGTACTCAGTCCGCCCGAGAAGATCTCCGCTGACAAGGGCGATAATGGACTCGAACCGGCGTAGGACGACCGTGTGGATTGCAGTTGGACCATGGGCGGGGATGTGATGGGTAGGTGTGTTTGGGAAGTGGGGGATCCGAGGGGAGGGGATAGGGAACTGCTGACGTACGATTGCTTGAGGCCCTGGGTTTGCGTTGTTTTTTCCAAGTCGTCTTGGTGGACGGCTACGCTGAAGCGTTTCCAGAATTGGGGGTCGCGGACCATTTTGTGTGGTGTGTGGGTGG